GGTACTAACACATAAATGTGTTACAGAAGACTGAAGTAAGTCGATTTTGATTATGTATCTGTAAACGTAGGTACGTGGTACGTACCTACATAGATACAGAGCGTTTACTTGTTCAGTAAACAGTCATTTTATCGGTAAATATAATACATACCTAGTACCTACCTATCAGAACGTTTTTGATGGAATTTATTATTTTTTACTTGTATTATTTTAAGTAGGTATTGCTTAATAAATAAAATTCAGGGTTTTAAATACCGGTTAAAACCGATTAAAAATCGAAATCGTTATCGAAATCATTATAAATCAAAACCGGTATCCAACATTAAAATCAAAATCATAATTTCCCAAAACCGATATCTAAAAATTAAAATCAAAATCGAAAAAATGAAAAACCGGTATCCAACATTAAAATCGAAATCATAATTTCCTAAAACCGATATCTAAAAATTGAAACCAAAATCGATAAAATTAAAAACCGGTATACAAAATCGAAATCAAAACCGACATTTTTTCAATCGGCTTAAGTAAAAATACTAAATAGTATGAAAATAAACGTAGATACTATAATTTATTGCAACGGTCAGACGTAATGTGTTGTCGGAAAAGATTTCGTTGATACGGGTTCATAAAATCATAAATCATAATTATTAATACATTACACTACCTATGAATAGTATGAATACAACATGTCATGCACTCATACTCATGCCTTATTGCTTATCGTTGTTTGCTGGCAACCGATGCTCGTTCCACGAAAACTGTTATAAATTTTACTTTGGTCACAAATTTTAATATAAATAAACTGTTTTATATATACGTAAACAATATCCCAACAAAACATATATGTAAAATGATAGCCAAGTTCAATTATGTAATATATGCTTTGATTGTTGACTTCAACGACAAAAGAAGTGAGATCTAAATGGATGCCAAGTTCAATGGTCAGTCCTGAAATTTATTTATAACAACATGAAATATAATTTCTTCTTATCACTTAGGATAATGTTTTGAAGCCTAAGGTCTGACTTGGCTAGTTTCCATATTTTACGAATTATCATCAAGTACCTACTAAAACAGTCATGGAAGAGCACTATGTTCGATAGCTAGTTTCTAATAGCAAGCCAATTTTTTAGAAGAATAAAAAAGAACTCCCAACTTTTTAGAACTTGCGAAGGCTATAACATAATTTGTATATAGAATCTAGCCAAGTCAGACCTTAGGCTTCAAAACATTATCCTAAGTGATAAGAAGAAATTATATTTCATGTTGTTATAAATAAATTTCAGGACTGACCATTGAACTTGGCATCCATTTAGATCTCACTTCTTTTGTCGTTGAAGTCAACAATCAAAGTATATATTACATAATTGAACTTGGCTATCATTTTACATATATGTTTTGTTGGGATATCATTACTTTTTGTATGTAAATTTTTAATAGCCATTTATTCATAATAAAATTATTTCCAAATGGTTTTTATTAAACTATTGTATTTATATTATTTTTACAATAATTTACCATGACGTATTCTATAAATAAAATTTATTACTAAATACTATAATTCAGTTACTAACGTATAACGTTAATAATATTTATTATAAAATATTTTCTATTGTATATACAGAGTATAAAATATATGTAAAATTAATATACAATTATTTTAACTCTTTTTGAGTATATTTTTAATTATCATAATTTTATTGACTGTAGTTTCTACTGTTGGGTGGATAATTCATAATTTGTAAGAATAATTATTTAATTATTTTAATTGTAATATTTAAAAAAAATAATATAAGTTACATACATAGATAGAAAAAAAAGTACCTATGTTGCTGCGCGCGGGTCGATATATCGACACATATTCGGCTAGTCGTATTTTTGGAGCGGCGATACGGGAAAGGTTATTTAAGTCAACATTACATTACATTACATTAAATTATAGGCAATTCATTAAGTAATTGAAAAATTAAACATAATAGATAAAATAATTGCAAAATTATAATAAAATCAATTGATTAAAAAATTAAAAATTAAAAATTAAAAAATTTTCAAGTTTCTGATTTTTTCCTTTGTATTTACCTAACTACCTATCTGTATGCCAAATTTAAACTTTCTAGGTCATCTGGAACTGGGTTAGAATTTTGATCTATAGGTCAGTCAGTGATAAAAATGACGATTTTCACGAATGGATCTTCGCAGGAAAAAACTCCGGATCCATGACGTCATTAGTTGTGTTTTTAATATTGTCCTTATCAAATGTTATGGTGATTAAATTGTTATCATAAATATAATATTATCATCAACCATAGATATATTATTTAATAATTATTTTATGATAATTACACGTGCTAATTACATACATTTTAAAACACAGTAAGTACATGTTCTTAGTAAAATAAGTTGAAAACAAATATATCATTGTAAAACTAATACATTCATGTGTTCATAAAAAATGTCACTTAATTTAAGGGAAGTCATAAAAAAATAAATTATACACACATATATTAAATCTAAATCTACAACTAAATCAGTAGGTTTCAAGTGTATAATAAATAATCAAATATAAATGTAATATAAATAATGTGTAAATTGCTTAAAAAAAAAATTTTAAATACCTATTATTTAAATGTAAGAGTGGTCAAAATTAGATTTGCTTATGTTAATTACTTCGTCGGTACCATCTTTTAAAGATTTTTTAATAATTAATTCTTCAGCAGAGGACATGGTAGTTGTTTCCAATTTTTTTTTTTTTTGCATGAAACGTGCTTGTGGTTCTATTTTTCTTTTTAAATTTGTCTGCGTTTTTTTAAAACTCAAGTCTTTATTTTTATAAAATTAAAATAAATTAAATATACAACAAAATGAATTTATTCATATTTTCAAAGAATGTGAATTAATTCATTTTTTGGTGAATGTTCTGAACACTGCTTGTATGTCATTGTTATTGTAACACTTTAAAATTATAAAATAAATTAATGCGATTATGTCTAAATAATAATTGTATAGAAGTTACATTCTATCTGATGGCAAATCGTAAAATTGTTATTAATTTATATATATAAAAATACAAATAACAAATATTTTGTAAGCATTTGAAATTTGAATGCCGCGCATTCAATCACCATAACATTTGATAAGGACAATATTGATAACACAACTAATGACGTCATGGATCCGGAGTTTTTTCCTGCGAAGATCCATTCGTCGATTTTCGGACGTTAATATCTAAATAACGGTTTGAAGTATGTTTATGAAATTTAGAGCACATATGTATCTCGTTAGTCTCAATATATGAGCCAAATTTGACATGTTTATGTGGAATAGTTTTTGAGTTATGAGGGGGTCAAAAGTGGCTCCAAATGGTTCGTGTAATATTACACACGGTGCTGCTCGCCAGTTCTGTTAGCTAGAACTTGGCTTGACACGCTACCGCGTGTATAGATAATGAATATATACTAATATAATATATTTAATAGTAAGTAGTTACATAATAATAATTAATAGAATAATAGATTTATTTATAACAAAATATAACAAAATAAACTATAATTAAATTTCATATTAATCATAAGGGTATAAGTCTAGTTTACCGGGCACATTTTTTTTTTGAATTTTTTTTTTAAAAGGGTTGTTTTGACGAGTTAAGAACGATTGTGCAAAAATAAAATTGCGGAAATGATTATTTTGGAAGTTATAGCTTCCCAAAGTTAACGATTTTACGTTTATACGCGTGCGCGCAACACTACTATAATGCCGCGCGGAGGACCTCGAGTTTGGTGACCGGAGGACTTTTTTAATTGTTTTTATCTTTTATGATAACTGATACAACAATTAGTAATTACTAATTACCCTGTGAACTACTTGAGGTGTACTTGCATAACAAGTCGATGGATATTTTCGATTTGCTGAGTGGAGCGACGGCGCCGAGGAGCGTAGCGACGAGTGCCGCCAACTGTGTAACACTCCCCATATACTACGACATAACTTACCCTGTAACCTACTTAAGGTGGTGTGCATAGCAAGTCGGGGGATATTTTCGATTTGCGGAGCGGAGCGACGAGTGCCGATACACGAGTAATCACTGCAACTTGGAACGTCCATAACTTTTGAACTGTAAGTTTCCGGGAATTTTTGAGGAAAACCGAGGTTCACCTGAGGTATTTTTACACAACAAATCGGGGGATATTTTCGATTTGCGGAGCGGAGCGACGGCGCCGAGGAGCGTAGTGACGAGTGTCGCAAACTGTGTAGGTTGGCTTACTGTAGGTAATTTACTATAGGTTAATAACTATAGGTTATTAACTATAGGTAATTTTTTGGTTATCTATAAAAGATATAGGTAATTAATAATAAAATTCTAATAGGAATAGTAATATAGTTATTTAATTGGGTATGCCATTACAATAAAAACAATTAAAAAAGTCCTCCGGTCGCCAAACTCGAGGTCCTCCGCGCGGCATTATAGTAGTGTTGCGCGCACGCGTATAAACGTAAAATCGTTAACTTTGGGAAGCTATAACTTCCAAAATAATCATTTCCGAAATTTTATTTTTGCACCATCATTCTTAACTCGTCAAAACAACCCTTTTCAAAAAAAAAAATGTGCCCGGTAAACTAGACTTGTTCCAAATAGTGCCAATTACTGTAACCCTCAATAAAATATCTAAATATTATAAAGTATAATTGTAATTGAAGACAACAAGTCATATTTAATTAAACTTGTTCATTGTTTATAAATATAAGAACAATATTGTACCTAATAACATATATTAAAACAGCACTTATATATTATTATGTATAATTGGAATTAAACAACAAATTAAAAATTAAAACAGTACTTATATTAATATTGTATTAACTAACAAAAAATAAATAAAAACAATTAGGTACTTACTAATAGTTAAGTCTTTTTACTGGGTATAGGTAACTTATATACAATAAAAAAATATTTAACAAAAATCATGACAATAAAGGTGTGGTACCTTTAATTTTGATCTGGTTCAGTCTGAACTACAATCTTCTTCATCAGTCTCTTGCAGTGTATCTTCCACTATTTCATTTCTTTTTAATGAAGTATACTCACTATGATACCTGTTAGGTATGACACCACTTTTACAAAGTTTTAATAAATCAGTATATTTTGCCACTGATATTGGATTTTTTTTTTTTAAATGCCCTCTAGACAATTTCTTGTAGGCTCTTACACCAATTTGTGTATTATCATAATTATTTGCCTCTTCAAATACCTCAACCTCCATGGTAGGACAACTATTGTTTATGCTATTAGCTTCATTAATAATAATATTATTATTTATATTATAATCATTAGTACTAGTACACATGTTCACTTCAGATGTAACATTATAATTAATCTTCTAAGTTCTTTAACATAATTCATTTCCGCATAAAAATATAGTTTATTGTTTTAAAATAAAATGTTCAATGATGACTGATAAGGTTTCTAATCAGTCGATTTGTTGTTACAAAATATAAACTCTATTATTTTTATTTATGTGTTTTCAATGAAAAATAACAATATTGTGTAACAGTTATATAAATAATATAACAATAAATTACCGTATTCATTTAAATAAAACGTAGTTCAAAATAAAACTTAAGTGTAATTTCATACTTTCATAGTGGGTTACGCTATTTGGCCTGTAATATTAGTATATTATAGACGACTTAAAATACTATACATAGATATTATGCTGTAGGCTTACACTAATTGGCTTGCTGAAGAAAAAATTGTTTGAAAATGTTGATATTTACGTTGTGGCTTACATCAATTGACACTGTTTTAACAGTGTGGCTTACACTAAAAAACATTAAATTAAGTTGAATTTAGACTGGAATTAATCATCTGAGGGTTACAATATTTGGCCACAATGTGTATTTTCTCTATAACAATATGTTTCAATCATAACCTGAAATTTGAAAAAAAAGTGAGAGTTACATCAATTGGCCTATTAGCCGACGATATGTTATATAAAATGTAATAAATTGAGTCTAAAATGAAAATGTATATATTTATTTTAGAAACGTGGTCCAATGGATGACATTATTACGGTCACAAAAAAAAGACTTAATGTCAAGATGGATAAGATCATATTGTTAAAAGCTTGTACAGAAATGGTCACTGTAAATGGTCGACCCTTAACCATTTTTAATGATTCTGGTTTCAAAAAAATCTTAAAACCTTTAGTTGAAGCCATCGGTGGTGGTAATTTATTATTATAATTACTTATTACCTAATTTAGTTTAATATTTTAGAATTTGTATTACCTGTATTATGATCTTGACATGTTATGTTGTTGTTAACAATTTTAGATTTCACAATTAACTCACACAACATAAAGAAGCACATTTTTTCTGCCTCCAACACAATAATTAGTGAGATTAATGATGATGTCAAAAACAAATTAATAAGTCTAAAAATTGATTGCGTCAAACGTCATTTTCGCTCTATAATGGGAGTCAATATCCAATACATTAAAAATGGTTTATGTTTATTTGGCCACTTTAGCTACGCGAGAACTTAATGAACAACATACTTCTGAAAATCTAAAAATATTGGTATTTACATTACCTTAGTTTTGTAGGTACTATAGGTTCAATTATTTTGACTTAATATGCAAGTGTTTATTTATTTTTAGCTTCTTGATGTATTAAAAGCGTATAATATTAGAAAAGAACAAATTTACACAATTACATGTGACAACGCATCAAACATGGTAAAGTTGGCGAGAATTATGAACGAAGAATGTGAAGTGGTACCTAATGATGAAGAAATTAGTAATGTTACAAATCCTGATGGAAATAATGATGATAGTGATTTTGACTTAGAATATGAAAATCAAGATGGTACACTTTTGTCTATGGATGATATAGAGAGTGAACTTTTCAATGATCAATTTGTGAATAATGGTAAATATGTTTTATTTTATTATATTATTAATTAAAATGCTAAGTAAATATTTTCTTGCAACAGAGAGTACAAATAAAGAAGTTAAAGACTTTCAAGAATCTGTGATTGAACCAAAATCAATTACATCTTGTATTCGGTGTTCTGTGTATTCCTTGCAATTATGTGTTCTGGTTGGCTTGAAAAATGCACCGATAACTAACTGTATAACTGAAGCTAGAAAGGTGATTTTAAAATAGAATTTGCTCACCATTATATACATTTTTATTAAATATTTATAAATTTCATAGATTGTAAAAAAACTCAGAACACCCAAATATGCTACTTGATTAAAGAGAAAAAACCTAAAGTATGCAATTATTGACATAGAAACAAGATGGAACTCGCTTTATAATATGCTGTTTAGACTGCTAGAGTTAAAAGAATTCTGTAAACTTCACGAGGAAACCAATGCTGATTTAAAACTTAACAATTGTGAATGAGATTCAATCCAAAGTATTGTAAGTTAAATAACTAATATATTAATATTTTTTCTAATAAATTTTTATGTTTTACTTCAAACTTATTTATCTACTTTATAACATTTTATGTAGATAATTAATTAACTTTGTGAGTTTTGTTAGGTTGGCATTTCTAGGTGATCATAATATTATAATATTTCTAATATTTTTCTTTTTTTTTTAAGTAATATCAAATTACGTTACAAAACATAATATAACTAATACTGAATTACTAAAGTATTTTCAAATTAATAATTTTTTATATAATACATTTTAATTTGATGTTTAAATGATTTATTTGAAACATAGGTCAATGCGCTTAATCCTGTAAAAATAGCAACAGTGGCATTACAAAGGCAAGATCTGAATTTGGGTGACTTTTATCGGATATGGTTGAGAGCTATTCATGGATTGACTTCCAATGGTTCGATACTAGCTAAGACTATTAAAACTGCTATGGAAAAAGAAATACAAGAAAAATATCTGAAAAATAGTACATTTTTGGCAGGTATGAGTATTTTTTTTATACTCTATGAGCATTTTTATGTATACCTAATAGTTAATAATTAATAATTATATTTTAGCGATTTTTCTTGATCCAAGATACCAGGCCTTACTCACTTCTAATCAAAAACGTGATGCTATAAATCGTCTTATTGTTACTTGGGAGACAATACTTTTATTAAATGGCGCAGATAGGACTTCTGAAAGTTCTGAGTTGCTCTTAGATGATGCAGGTATAATAAATTCATCACAGACCTAATGTAGTTCAATATGTTTTTATACCTACCGCCATAATTATTGCCCATCTAATATAACATTTTTAATTTTTTGCTAATTTTACAGTTAATTCATGTATAACTGAAAATAATCAAGAGTCTGAAGATCCTATTGAACAATTTTTGTCATCTCAATCTTCTGTGCTGTCTCAATTGTCTACTACATCCAATATTACAGAAGCTATAATAACTATACTTGATAATTTTAATAATGTCCAGCGTGTTTCTCACACAGTCAAAATAATTGAATATTGGGAAACTCAAAAAGTGCATTGGCCCGAACTATATCAGTTAGCGAGTGTTGCTCTAGCAGTTCCAGCTACTCAAGTAAATCTATAATATATATATTACTATGCTATATAGTTAATATAGTATGCTAATATTATACACTAATATAATTTTATACTTTCAGGTTAGCGTGGAAAGAAGCTCCTAACCTACGTGCATCATTAGACCCAGACGTTTTAGAAGCTATAATGAGGTGCAATGAGCAATTTAAAAACAATTGTTAAATACTATTTTGTAAATGTGATAGTTGAAAAAATGTTATTAAATAAAAAGTTATTTCTGAAGTATAAACAATAGTTTACATTATTTTAATTACTTTTTTATTTTTATTTATTTAGTTGTTAGTACTAAACTATTACTGATCGACAGTTAAATAGTATATTTAATATAGGTGGATAATATTACAAATTACTTATTTAAACAACAGATAATATTATTGCTAATTGGGAATGATTAAATGTGTGTATAATACTATAATATAAACTGATTTCAAGTTGTATCGTCATAACTTTTATTCCACATAAGGCATATAACATGAACAATATTTACATGTAAATATTGTCTTACTTGGTACTCATATAGTATTTTTTTTGTTAATAAATTTAATTTTATTAAGGTTATTAGTTTTTAATATCACCAATGCAGAAATATTGCACAGGTAAAATGAATAAGAATGGCATGATATGGGTCAATTTTGTGTTTTTTTAATTCATCAGCTTATTCATTTATTGAATGTTAAAGAAATACACGTAGCGAAAATACTATTTATTGGTTAGAGCATTTATTTTTTCCAAGTTCATTAAATTTAGAGTAAAATACTAAAATCGCCTTTTTACAAAATATAGAATATTATTAATAGTACATTTTATTATTTTAAGGCATAAATTGGTATTTTTTTTTCTATTTTAATGTCTTACAAATGAGTAACAGCTATAAGGATTTATTTTTTGAAAAAATTGGTTCAGTAAATTTGAGTACTATATTCAATATTGATATATCAACCATTACAGGGCAGAACTAAAAAAATCATCAGATTATTCTGAAAATTGGTTTACATGTTCCTACTTGGATTTTGGGAAAAATATTGTCTTGCATATTTGGAAATGGAATTTTCCTTACTCCTTTTACGACAACACCGCAGAAAAATTGAAGGACTTCCTGCAAAACAAGATTACTCCACTTTTAGAAACATTTCAGAATTATCAAAATAATTTAAAATTTTAAATGGTTTGAAAAACTCTGAAATTTATATAATTTAAAATAATTTGAATTCTATAAAAGATGCTAGTCATGCATAACACACTATAAGTTTGCCTATGTTCTATAATATATATTGTATACAATTTAATGAACTTGACTCAACATGGTGTTATCATCTGGGTTTTTCCCACGATTATCAAGTTTTTATTTTAATGAAAAATTAATCATATGATTTTTATCAAAGAAAATTATATTTGACATTAACCAAGTTGTAGAATGTATGCATAAGTATTTTGTCATACGTAAAAACGTTTTTGGAGGGATCGATCATAAATAATAAAAAAAAAATCCCTATAAATAAGTACCAGCAACCATACTAGTATGCATACTACTTAATGTGTAATATGTTTACTATATAGTGAAATATACTAATCATTATTTGCAGAAAAATCAGATAAGTTCGAACTTATTTGGTTCTTGTGCAAAAAAAAAGAAAACCAGATAAGAATAAAAAATATAATACTAATGGCGGATTTATCTTGTGTTCGCAATTTGCACAGAGTTGTAGACAATTTTTTAAAACCGATACCTACCTAAAAATTTAAATCCTATATCCAAAATTAAAATCAACATCATGATTCCTATAACCGATATTTAAAAACTAAAATCAAAATCAAAAATATTAAAAACCGGTATCCAAAATTAAAATCGAAATCATAATTTCCCAAAACCGATATCTAAAATTTAAAATCAAAATCGATAAAATGAAAAACCGGTATCCAAAATCAAAACCAAAACCGACATTTCGTAATACCGGTACTGAAAAATTGAAAACGAAATCGAAAAATTTTGAAACCGGTATCCAAAATCGAAACCGAAATCGAAATTTCGTAATACCGGTATTGAAAAATTGAAAACGAAATCGAAAAATTTAGAAACCGGTATCCAAAATCGAAACCGAAATCGAAATTTCGTAATACCGGTATTGAAAAATTGAAAACGAAATCGAAAAATTTAGAAACCGGTATCCAAAATCGAAATTTTTCAATCGGTTTCAAGCCCTGAAATAAATAAATTATTTAATAAAATTACGTCCTTTATCGTTATTATTTTTAAACGACAACATATATTTTACATACAAATATCGATACAATTAATGGGAATGTAAGTTATAAGTAATAACATTTGTATCAAATCATTTAATAAAAATGTTTTCAAAAACAACAAAAATAGGTGGGGAAGTGGGTGTAGCTTTGCTGTACAGTGGGTTTCAACTTTACAAGTGGGTCACTGTAATGGATGGTGTAAAATTTGAAGTCAATGATATAATGTCAAAGACGGCCAGTCAGCATATGATAATATATTACTATAAGTACCTATATTTAGCGATACATGAAAATAATTTATTTATCTATTTACGTGGATACTCGTTTTAAATTTTCAATTATTAACTATAAAAGTTGAATATTTCATTCAGTTTTAACTATAATATCATTTTTCATTTTTAAATTTGATACATTTTGTCACAAATTGAACTTTAAATGCTTATAAAAAAAAATTGTGCATATGAACTTTTTAATATTTTTCAACTACTATTGTAACAATATATCAATATCAGGAGACTTGTATTACATTTTCACGCTTTTTACCCAACAAATACAATTTTATTGACATTTATAGAAAAAAAATTACAACAAAATCACTAAAATTGTTATTAATGTTATTTAATATGTAATTTCGTCCAAATTTGAACATAAAATATAAAAAAAAAAACTGTGTTATTTTATTTTTTGGTTACAGAATAACTTATACTTACGTGGAATCTTGTTGTAAGTTTTCAATTTTTGGCTATAAAAGTTTTATACATTTTTAACTACAAAATCATTTTTTTATTTTAAATTTGTTAATTGTTGTCTAAAATCAAACTTTAAATATTAAATGCTAATAAAAAAAAATTGTGCCTATGTATTTATAATATTTTTCAACTTCTATTTAAGCAATGGACCTTGCATTAAATTTTGACCCAATAAATAACATTTTATTGATATTTATAAAAAAAATAAAAACTAAATGACTAAACTTAAATGATTTTTTCAACTGCTTTAAACATGTTTACAACATGAATTAATCGAGTTTAAAAAAAAATTATTTATTTAATTTCTGAATTTTTTTTAAATGTTACGTATAGTTTAACCAAGACTTTAGATAACTTTAGACTTAAAAATCATTTTGATAATAATTGATGATAAAAGACTAATATGTTATCTATATCTTGATAAAGAATAATATAATATTAATATACTTTGGCGGGTTTGCGCCGATTATGAAATAATAAAAAAAAACAATTAGATAGTAGGTACTCTGAATTATGTAAGTGTCATCAAGAAATTATGGCTGAAGTCATCACTTTCCAATCACAGGGATTTCCTTTCAAATCTTATCTGTTCAATGAAAATATTGTTTTAAAAATTAAATCACTGGCATGGTGGATAGCATTGAAAAAAACTTAACGAAGGAAATGAATGAAATGGTTAAGCAACTGTTCACATCATGTGCTTCATCAGCAGTGATCAGATTAGATAAGTATTTTTTAATCTAGATAAAGATAAAGACAATGCAACTCAAATGTATCTAGATAGATATAAAAGATAACTTAACTCATATTTATCTAGATAAAGATAAATACTTCTTTTCTATATAAAAAAAAGATACAACTATTTTTTAAATGGTCTTAAATTTAGGTATATTTTAGTTGGGCACCAAGAAAATAATAATAATAATGGTATAAATAAAAATAATTACATTATTTATAAACCATAAACTTTGTTTGAGAATATGTATAAATATTTAAAAATGCATTTGTACAATTTCACAATTTTTATCAATAAAAAATGTATCTAGATGAATTTATTTAGATTAGTAAAAAAATTATCTAAGATGAACGTTTAGATCCCTTGTAATTATTTATCTAGATAAGATAAAAGATAAACAAATAATTATCTAGGTATTCATCTAGATAAATCCAAACACTGCATCACCATTCACCTGGCAGGGAATATTTTCAATTTATGGTATAGATAATACAAAACTAAGAAACCGGTTAGGTATCAAGAAATCTTCCAAATTAGTCTCTGTATTTAAAAGTTTAAGCACTTGTAACAAATAATTAAAACAATTGCGATATTTAAATATTATGTTACTTATCAAGTTGATATTATTTTATATTTTTTTTTTTATTTATGTTGGATTACAACTTATTAGTAATTACCAACTGTTATGTTATTTTAATAATTCTATTTCTAAATTCTATATACCTAGTTTATGTTTTACATTATGACTTGTTAAGTGTTAACTTTTATGACTGAACAAGAAACATTAAATAATACATTTTAATATTTTATAATTCTGTTGTATAAGTTTGTGTTGTAATTTGTAAATGAAATAGGTATTAAAAATTAAAATTAAACAAATATATTACCTACAGAACTACAGAAGTAAAAGAACCATAGAAGTATACTGTTAGTAATTTGAATAAGAAAAATTATTATTATAAATGTTATAAATTTCAAATTTGTTTATGAAACAAAAAAAAAAAATAATATGAGTTGCCAGTATGAACTTATAAATTATAATGATATTTTTCTGTTTTAACCAACCGTTTTTTGTTGTTGTTTAAATCATTTGTTTTAAACAAAACCATGTTTAATTAATTTAGATGTTTAGAACATGTTCAAACAAGTTTTTAAAACAAAATGTTTTAAACATCTCAACTCTGGTTGAGAGTCAATTTGTTTTGTTGCGCTGTCAATTTGTAGACGGAGACAAGAAATATCCGTGAGTCCTTAAGTCTTAATGAAACTGAAGTCTGAACCCTACAGTTGACAATTTTTATTTTGAGTGTACTTTCAATGTTTTATAATGTTTTAATAGTGTGATAAAATGTAATATAACGCATATTATTGTTGCGCGCACAAACATCGCTCCTCTATAATAATATAATACAGTACAAGTAGTAAGTACACATACCTACATTATACCTATTTCTTATACCTATACCTAGCCTATAGGTGCACATGCAGAAACATACTGAACGCGTGTATCCCGTGTAACGTGTTATATTATATACTATATACTATATATATAATATATATAAAGCATGTATCCTTGACATAAGTATATAAATGTCATAATGTCATAATGTCCACCTACTCGTTTCTTGAGCACACAACTTTGCCATCGTCGTGAAAACCGCGTGTCGAAGATTTATACACTGCGAGTGTACGATGTACCTATATATAATATAATACATACATAATATTATAACATTCATCCGTAGGTACATAACGACCTGGTTGGTACCCAAACATATATATAGGTAGGTACATTATATCAAGACAATGATACAATTATAATACCTACCCACTATTTAATAGTGACTATTATATATGTATATGCAAGTACGCGGATGTTCATCCAAACAGTATCACACAACGAATTATGTAGATATTATTATATTTGTTGTTTTCTGTAATATTATGTCCCCTTTGTATACGTCATTAATCATTATCATCTTTTGTACTGCTGCAGGTGGTTGTAACTTGTAGTGTTGCAGTAGGTACGCTCGTACATATTACTGCACGTTGCTAATCTGTAATCATAAATTGTCGGTGTCGGTCGTCATATTGTATAGTACTCATATAATATATAATTATAACTACTAGCTTAACAGCAGTGTTGTGGCGATGGATTTTTTTTAGGGGCCCAAGGTTTTTTGTGGTGGGATGATCAACCTCCCAGAAAACGGTATCTCCACGAATACTGTACAACAAGTAGATATCGAACATATTACAAAAATTGATTAAAATATTCATGGCTTCGGCATTTTCCAATTTAACCTTAGACTACAAATAAGCAATCTGTAGTACATTTACTCCAACAGAACCATGTTTTTCTAAACCAAAATATTATTTCAAACCTTACTTACTTTCGACTATGAGTGCGGAGGTGAGACTTGATCATCTCATGGTAATTCTAGGATTATCTCAAGACATCGATACACATTTGGGCGATGCAATTAATAATATATACATATATGATTTTTAATTATTATATATATATATATATAATGGTTAAAAACTAGTAACGAGTAATTTTTGTTACGTTTCTACCACAACATTGCCTAAGCTCTATGACCTATAATCAGTATTTACGCATTTACATTCATGAATCAATAAAAATAAAATATAAGATTGCCTAATATTTTAAATTAGTAGGTATTCATTATTTGGAAAATTAAATTTAGGCCTGAGAGGTAGCTGTCCACCCTGCAGCTCTCTCGTGCACATGCATAAGATACCTGTAGAAATATTTACCGAAATTGTATTTAAAATAGAAACAGAAACTAAAGCTAGAATGCTCACTAAAAACACGGTAAATCGAATGCTAAGAAGACAGCGATCAAAAAACAATCCTAATTCTACCATAATGTAAGGTAATCAGTAATCACATAAATTAAAGTAAATTATAAAATTAAATAATTTATTAATAAATAATAATTTTTTTAAATTTATTAATCAGGTACACCGTACACGACAAGTGCAGAGCTTCATTTTAAAAGATTTTTCCTATAGGTAGGGCCGTAGCAACCGAATATTGCGCCCGGGGCGAAACTTCAAAATGCGCCCTTAAGTATTTTAATTTATAAAAAAACTAAACACTGTATATTATTTATAAACGCAATATAAATAATGATTTTTCCTTATAATTATGTAAGCGTATGTTAACTTTATTTAAATCAATAACTTATTAAAATATAAATATACATAATTATTATAAGAACATTGATGTAACATAATAAATAATAATATTATTTTTACTTATAAGTAACATTTAAATTGCAATTTTTCTAGCTTTTTTCCCAGCAAAGTCTTCAATAAGTTTGTTTATATCTAAAGTATTTACCACTGTATGTTCAATAGATAAAATAGCCATATCAGATATTCGATCTTGTCCCATAGTCGACCTCAAATAGTTTTTTATGAGCTTTAACTTACTGAATGATCTTTCACACGTCGCCACAGTTATTGGCAAAGTCAAAAATATGCGTAAAGCTATTTCGACATTTGGATATTCAGCACGCAAAGAATATGTTGTAATTAATTGTAGTAGGGCTAAAGGTGTTGCGGCTCTTAAGTCAGATAAAAGAGAAAATGCTTGAGACTTAAAATCTTTTATTTCAGAGATAAAATCGGAAGAATTTAGATCGGTTTCATACTTCAGAGATAAGTCAGCTGCACATTTTTGTATATAGTCCATAGAGTGGTCCGTCAAGCTACTACCATACAAAAATCCAAAATTTTCATTAATTTCTGACATATTTTCGAATCGGATAATTTTGGAGCCATATTTAAATGTTTTTGGACCCTTTTTTAAAAATTACACAGCTATTAATATTTAAAAGTAACGATTTCTTAATTATGAAGGTTTAACAAATTGTTGTGAAAAAAAAGTAGCTATAACCCGGGCAAGTAGACGAATCTAAAGTTTGAAGTATTCTCAAATGATTAATTATTATTTCTCAAGTCCAAATTCTACACCAATTTGTAATTTAACTTGTGGAAAAGTTGTAAAAAAAATATCAGTGTCAAAATTTGTTTTTAAACCAATTTTTTTTTAAGTAAAAAACACAAAATTCGTCATCTTACCCATGTGCTGGAGTAAGTTGACATTTCCCCGGGGTAAGATGATATACATATATAAATAAATAAAACAAATTTAATATTTTATATAATAATATTTTAACAACTTATATTATTAAATGTATTAACATAATTTTGAAATTTGTACCCGTCGGGAGCATACAGTTTTAGTACGCGCGCCCAGTGACCGAAATACTTCGTAACGCACTAACGCTACTTACACACCGATCGACCTGTTAATTATTGGGTATGGTGTCGATGTGTAATGGTGTAAATACTAAATATCATATACATTGATAGATTGTATTTACTAACTATTATTGGTTTTATACTTTTATATCTATATATATAAAAATGAATGTATGTCTGTGTGTCTGTGTGTCCATGTTACCATGGTTACCAAGGTTGCCATGGTTACTAAGGTTACCAAGATTTCATATCAATCTATCTATATATATAAAAATGAATGTATGTCAGTGTGTGTGTGTGTGTGTGTGTGTGTGTGTGTGTGTGTCCATATTACCATGGCAACCATATCTGTATATAAAAAACAGTAAGCTGATTGACTGCTATCAACGCACAGCTCAAACCATTGGACGGATCTGGCTGAAATTTGGCATACAGATAGCTATTATAATATAGACGTGCGCTAAGAAAGGATTTGCCAAAATTCGCATTTTAAATAGGTGCTGAAACAGGGACATTGAGATTCACGATAGAAATTGGAAATTTTTATTTTATTTATTTATAGTTGCCATTGGTTACAGTCTACATTAGAAATTAGCATTTATTTATTGGTTGCCATTGGTTATTCGGGCAGATCAGGTACAAGCTTGCATCAAATCGAATTATTGAACAATGCTTACCAGGGTGGCAGAGTTGCACTTACCGCAGAAAATTACACCCAAAAGGAGTTCAACAATCATAATTTTTTTAAGAGTTGCGATTTTTTACGAGCAAACAAATTTATTATATTAATCCACAGTATTACATCAAAATAAACTTGGTATAACTTTGATACTTTAGAGTTAAATCATACACGTCCGTACAAACAGCACGGGGTCCGCGATCTACCGCAGGTAGATTGCCTACCTGATAATGTACTGCTGCGATTCAGAATTTTTATTCAGGGCAACGGGAAAGATAAGATAAATTTTGAACACCATACACGTTAATGAATTGAACAAAGTTTGAGTAGGTAGTATTGAGTTGATCCATTTAACGGGCGACGAAGTGCACGGGATCAGCTAGTTTTAAATAAAATTACATTAATTACAATTAAAAATGTACCTTCTTTCATCTTCGGTGTCTATCAAAAAGCTTAATGTATCTACATTATATTTTGATTTACTGGCTGCTGCTGAACCAGTGCCTAATTTTCGTTTTTTTCAATTTTTTTTTGTAAGAATCTCTTATTGTTCGCCAACGTGTTTTGCAATCAATCACTAAAAATCATGAATAGGTAATATCATAATCATCAAATTTTATTTACCGTCCAAGCTACTAATAATAATTTAAGTACACTCATTATGCCCAAATAGTCATTAGAATAATACAATTTTAACACTCAAATTAACAAAAAAAAAGGTGGGTAAGTGGATGTCGCTCTGCTGTACAGTAGGTTACAAGTGGGTCACTGTATAATGGATGCTATTAAATTTGAATTCAATGATACAATATCATTGTATAAGAAAAACGATTCTGAGCGAAGACGGTATGTCAGTCTAGGTTTAATATAAATTATATACATATCTATGGTATTAAAAAAAAAATTGACCTATAATAAATTCCAAATTAATCATATCACATTATCACAATATCCATTAGGTACTTATAACACGTTATACATCAACATCAACAACAAACCCTGATACTATCATATATATATAATAGTACACTTTAGAAGTTTCAAGTAGGTACCCACGAATAATATTATATAATCACAACAAAATAACTAGGTTTTTTAATATGTAATTTCGTCCAAATTTGAACATAAAATGACTATAAAAGTAAACTGTGATTGTATATTTTTTAGATTTTTCGGTAAAAGAATTAACTACTTACGTGGAATCTTGTTTTAAATTTTCAATCCTTAGCTATAAAAACTGAACATTTTATAATTTATTAATTACGATGATTAATAATTTTCGAGATTTTGAAAAATTCTATCAAAATTCGATGTTAAAATGCTTATAAAAAAAAATTGTGCCTGTGTATTTTTAATATTTTTCAACTGATATTGTAACAATATATCAGGAGCCTTGTATTACACTTTATTTTACACTTTTTGGCCCAACAGATAAAACTTAATTGATATTTATAGAAAAAAAAAACTAAAAAAATTGAAAACTGAAAATGTCCGTAAACGGCTCAAAAAGTGTCAAAATATTTTCAAAATTGTAGGGTGTATAGGAAATGCTAATATAAACATTCAGTGAAATTTTCATGTATCTACAGTAATTCGTTTTTTAATTACAACAAAAAAAGGAAATTGCCACATGAGAAATCGAGTGAATATCCAATGTTGTAAAAATTTGAATTTCAAACGCTCATAAAAATTTAATTTGACTTTCCGGTAGAAATTTTTTTATTGATAAAGGTAGACAATCTTATGAGTAATCTTGTATTAGATTTTCAAATCTTAGATTTAAAAAGAAAAATTTTTACGAATTCTTAACTCAAAATAATTTGCTAATTTTCGTGATTTTTCCATATTTTGTCAATTTTTGAACTTTAAATGCTTATAAAAAAAAATTGTGACGAAGGATTTTTAATATTTTTCATCTGCCTTTGAAACAACATATTAGGAGCCTTCTCTTTCAATTTTATTGAAATTTTTAGAAAAAAAACTAAAAAAAAATGGAAAATGAAAATGTCCCTAAACAGTTCAAAATAAATCAAAATAATTTGAAAATGTTATCGTGTATAGAAAATGCAAATATAAACAACCAGTGAAAATTTCATGTATATACGTTCATTTGTTTTAGAGTTACACCAATAACCAAAATCGATTTTTTGGAAAATCAATTTTGCGTAAAAATTCCCGTTTTTCCTTAATTTTTATGTTGTTTTTCCCGGCGCTTGTGAAAACTACTGGGAAATTTAAATTTTGACCTCCCAATGCACCAACGATATTCACTTTCCAATCGAACAAGATACTGAAGTCGAAAATCGAAGCATTATTTCGACTACTTATCGTGTACACAGATACAAAAAAAATAAAAAAATAAAAAAACACACATCATTGTAAAATCAATACATTCATCGTTTCACTCAGAATCTAAAAATTGAAAATGATATATACTTTTCGAAATAATTAATGTAGTCACTTAAATGGATCACTCTGTATAATATATAATTAAATAAATATATATATATATATATCAATTTTACAGGTTTTTAAAGACTGGAGAGAGTTTTAAATCACTTGCATTTCAATTTAGGATATCACACAGCTGGATAAGTGCAATAGTAAGAGAAGTTCTTGCTGCTATTTGCCTTCGAACTATAACAATGCCTGTACCAACAGAGGACATTTAAAAAAGTATCTAATGAATTTTACCAAATGTGGAATTTCCCAAATTGCTGTGGAGCCATTGATGGGAAGCAAATTAGGATCGTTTGTCCTGACAATTCTGGATCCTTGTACTTTAACTATAAATCTTTTTTTTCAATTGTTCTGTTGGCTGTAGTTGACTACATGAATAAGTTCATGGTAGTGGACATAGGTTCATATGGGAAAGAGTATGATGCCGGAATTTTCCCCAAATCCAATTTGGGAAAATTGATTTCTGATGGACAATTTAAATTTCCAGAACCAAGGTGTTTGCCAAACACAAAATACTTTTACCACATGTAGGTATTTATTGCAATACCATTTATAAACAAACATTTCCATCGTAAATCTCAAAATCCCCGTTTGAGTACCTGGGTTGGACCTATGGGTATGAGAAATAGTTTAATTCACTCTCTCAGACCTACTCATACACACACAATTTCATGAAAATCGATCAAGCCGTTTCGGAGGAGGTTGGCGACATAGTACATATATTATGTACCTATATGTTATTTAAATTATTAGGAATTTAACACATATTATTTTCTCTAAGATGTCATTGTTATATTATATCATACAATAAATACATATTATATTTGTTTTATTTTTCGTAAACTATTTCGAATGTTGTGTGATTGGGTTTTTGGAAAATACTATTTTTTCTCTTCACTTATAGCCTCTTGATGTCGGGTCAGCAATCCGGTGGATTGCCTACCTGATTTCCTGTAACACATTGTTCGCGATCCGACGAATGTTGGCAAATCCTTTCTTAGCGCACGTCTATATTATAATAGCTATCCGTATGCCAAATTTCAGCCAGATCCGTCCAATGGTTTGAGCTGTGCGTTGATAGCAGTCAATCAGCTTAATGTTTTTTATATACAGATATGGTTGCCATGGTAATATGGACCCACACACACACACACACACACACACACTGACTTACATTCATTTTTATATATATAGATTGATATGAAATCTTGGTAACCTTAGTAACCATGGCAACCTTGGTAACCATGGTAACATGGACACACAGACACACAGACATACATTCATTTTTATATATATAGATTTAATGAATATAATACCTATAGATAATAAAAAGTCCTAATTATTATTTACTTTTTTACTATCTCGTAACGAAAATATTTTTGTAATCTTCAGAACTAAATCAAACATTTCAGTTGAAGGAGAATCTATCATCAATAACTTTGATTTGAAAAATGAAATTTTAGATGAGACAGATTATGCAGAGGGTGATGAAGTGAATCATAGTATGGTTGTTGAAAATACTGACTCTCCGATTGATGAATCACATGAAACTGATAGTGGACCAAAAGAAATATATTTTAAAAAACCACATGGAGTACGAGGAGGAAAAGACAAAATAATTCATGAAATAAAAAAAGGATTAGCCAAGGAAGCTGAATGTAATAACCCGATCCAAATATTTTTTAAAAGCATGGCATCAACGGTCATGACTTTTCCCCCTGAATTGGTGGTAGAAACAAGAATGCGAATCAACAATATTGTATAGGAAATGGAATTACGTGCATTAACGGACACAAAAGAACACACCAACCATAACGAATAACCATGCAATAAGAACTTAGAACACCATCAACTGATCAACTTTCACAAACATAACGGATATCATGGATGATTCTTCAACCTCAAATTTCGCAACGTCAAGTACAAGTGTACCAGATTATTCAAGTCTTAGTCCAACTCCAAATAATTCTAATTTTGCATATTTAGACTATATTGCTGATTTTTAATTTTTGTTTTATATTTTATCATTTTGACAATTTAATCTTATCAACTGCTTAACAAGGTATTAAACATTAAGTTTTGTGTAATTATTAAATTTAACAGGTAATAAATTATTTTTTATTCTTTGCAATTTGCAATTTACAAGGTGAAATTTCTATATTTTGTTTTACAAAAACATTAATTTGTTATTATTTTTATTTTGTAAAAAGATTTAATAAAAAAAAATTAATTGTTTAGTTAACTATTTTATTATGTTTACTTTCCTTAGAGTAACACTCAATTTTTCTTCCGGTGATATAGGTTTTTTGACTCGATTGCAAGGAGGTCTTTTGATGTCTTCTCTAATATAATTAAATAATTCTAAGGAAACTCGGAAATATGCTCTAAATCGAGATTCACTGTCAATCAAGCGTCTTTGTATTAGGTTGTTGTAGCAGCCTTCACTGTCCCGTCCCCTGTACATTTCATGGCTTTCATCCCTTAACAAATGGACCAATAGTAGAAGTTCTAACAAACTACAGACTGACATCACGTCCATTTTGGCGTGTTACTGAATACAAACTGACAACAATTTCCAATATCCCAACTACGCGCTCATAATCACTCATAGTCTGGCAAAGCACCTCCATCACGCATCACGCAAGCGTGACCGAGCAATCACGCACCACGCATTCACGAATGGGTGATTGTAGGAAACCAAGGCTTTATACTTGATGTACCGTTGCGAATTGTACTAGGGTGGCTGAATTGTACTTACTGTTGCGAGTTACATCCAAAAGGATTTGAACGATCACAATTTTTTTAATAGTTGTTATTTTTTAAGGACAACGAAGTGCACGGGATCAGCTAGTGTATAATATCTATTAATTATAATATTATATACTTTTAAACTAATATTATGTACTCTAAGTGTAACTATATTGAACTACATTAAACATTTGTACCCCTTACTTCTCTCTCTATACACTGTCGGATATTAGTACGGTTAACTTGGGTTAGGATTTTGTATTAATTGATTATATTATACCACCATAGGTGGAATTCGACAAACTTGGTATAACTTTGATACATTAGAGTTAAATCATACACTTACGTACAAACAGCAAGGTGTCCGCGATCTACCGCAGGTGGTTTGCCTACCTGATACTATACTGCTGCGAATCAGAATTTTTATTCCGGGCCACGGAAAAGTTAAGATAAATTTTGAGCACCATAAACCGAATATTAAATAACTGTTCAGTGTTCAGACGTCCTACACCAAAACAAACGGTGATAAGAAAAACTGCAGCCCGACCTACCTTGCTACACCGCTGCGATCAGTTGTTCCCGGTTAGCCGTCAATGCGCGTGCACGTCGAGTTCGTGTTCCGATACCGTGTACATTACCGCGAAAACAGTCTTGCCGTCGCGTTACGTGCTTTGTGTTTTTTTTGTACCTACTACACGGGCAAAGTGAAGGCATCACTTTTTTCAACCAGGTACCAAACCTTTACCGCACCGTCAAGTCACCATCACCTTTACCGCACCGTCAAGTCACCATCACCCGCACCCGTCACCCGTCAAGTCTCACTGGTTTTTATTGAGTTATTAATTTATATTATTGTTGTAGTAGTAAAATTATCGTAAGAATTAGTTTTAAGAGCCCTACGCCGGCCGGCACATTTGTGCCCCAGATTTAAATTATTTATTGCTTTACAAATAGTAAGCCGTCACCCGGCATAGCCCTCACATCATTTTTATTTTTATTTGAAGAAGTTACCCATACCCATCATACAGTCCACAATTACCGTGGTAACATTATGGTCCGTCGAGCCTAGGATATATTTAGTTTGCAAAATAGTCTTAAGCGATTGAACAGTTCATTAAAAAAAAAAATAAAAACAATTAGCATAAGTAATTAAAATCCAATACGATTACGTACAATAATATAATAATATTGTTTGTAGTGTACCTACTTCGTCAAATTAATCGCAGGAAATTCGTTGTTAAAAAAAAAAAAATAATTGAATTTTGTTAATTTTTGTAATGGGTGTATACGATGAAGCTAAAGTACGTATCACGGACTTGCAGAAAAGAGCGAAACGTATCTATGATGCAGGAGAGGTAATGGTCGGGAAAGAACCGACAAAAACTGACAGAACGAGATTTAGAATTATGTACGCCACTTTGGAGAATTTAAACACCGATTTTGAAAGTCAGTTATCAGTTATTATTCGTAACATGGGTAAACCTGGTGTTGAAGTGGTTGACGCTGATAAGTTACGAGAGGACTTTGAAACAGTTTACTTTGGTTGTAAGATTTTGGCTGATGAGTACCTACCGGAATCTAATACGCACATAGGTTTAAACGATACCTTTATTGAACAGAAACCTAGCGTATCACCGGCTAATTTTCTACCGATTGAAAAGTTGGCTATTCCAAAGTTTAAAGGGGATCCAAAAGAATACACCAGTTTTCGTAACATGTTCGATATCTATATACACGACAATCCACACATAAAACCAGTGTTGAAGTTCGGATACTTAAAACGATACTTGGAAGGAGAACCTTTAAGACTGGTTGGAAATCTTATGTTGACCGATAGGAATTACGAATTAGCTCTATCCCAGTTAAAAGCCAGATATTCCAACCGTCGAATCATTACAGAAAGTCATTTGGATGAACTTTTTAATGCACCTAAAGCTTTCCTTGGAAATGGTATTTCAATTCGAAATTTACTTAATGTAGTTACTGAAACGATCGGTGCCTTAGAAAATCTCACATACGCAGTCGACCAATGGGACCCGATACTCTTACACGTGCTACAGAAAAAATTAGACCAACAACTTAGAGCTCAATGGGAGTTATCTGTAGATACCACCGAAGATCCTTCTGTGAAAGAGTTTATAGTGTTTTTGACTAAATTTTGTAAATCAGCCATGACCGGACCGACGAATTCTGTATATGAAAAAAGTAGCACCAAAAGTAAATTTACCAAACCGACTACCTTATTTAGTAGCCAATCAGGAACATATGGCTCACCAGAAAAGACTAGCCAACAGGACCCGCGTGAGAAAAGGTCGTTTTCGTGTCAAGTGTGTAAATTACAACCGGGTCATTTACTCGTACACTGTTCTCAGTTTAAAAAAAACAGTCCTAAAGAGAGGCATCAAATTATAAAAGATTTAAATCGATGCTTTTTATGCTTTAGTGAACATTTAGCCAGTCAATGTAAGAGTACCAAATCTTGTGTTCAGTGTGGAAAAAGACATCACTCACTACTTCATCTTAGTGATACTGACAGACCAATAGATGAACCCGAAGCAACTACATCAGCACATGTCACTGTAGCAGCAGCCAAGGTGAAACACTGTCATGCGTCCATTTTGCTATCAACGGCCTTAGTGAAAGTGCAAAATGAAAATGGTGAAGTTATAACAGTAAGGGCCTTGCTTGACAGTGCAAGTCAAAGTAGTTTCATTACGGAAAGTTGCGTGTATCGTTTAGGACTGTCAAGAGAGAAGACCAAAGTTACTGTCCAAGCTCTGTCGGGTACACAGGTACCGGTAGTACGTGGGAGTACCACTATAACGGTACGTCCGGTTCGTCATGACAGTCCTAAGTTAGAAGTAAATGTCCTCATCTTACCTCGAATTACTGGACCAATACCGACTAACCGGATTCAGATCTCGCCATGGCAACACATTGAATGGTTGAACTTAGCAGATCCGGAATATTACGAACCGTTACCAGTTGATCTATTACTTGGAGCGGACGTTTTCCCCTACGTTGTGTCAGGAGAGAAGAAAGAAGGTAGTATAACTCAGCCAATTGCCTTATCAACTGTGTTCGGTTGGGTATTGATGGGTACAACATCTAATACGCCAACAAAAATGTCCGTCACTATGTGCGCAACCACGGAGTCCGTGGACAGAACGCTTCAACGCTTTTTGGACATTGAAGATGTTCCTACAGTGGTCAAAAGTAGTCCCGATGAAGAAGAGTGTGAAAGAATATATACCATTACTACGTCGCGTCAACCATGTGGAAGATACAAAGTCCACCTGCCCTTTAAACCAAATCCACCAGTATTGGGGGACTCAAGAGACCAAGCAGCACAACGTTTATTCCAGCTCGAAAAACGGCTTGAGAAATCTCCGGAATTAAGAAATGAATACAATGAGGCGATGAGGGACTATTTACGAACGGGACATATGAGAAAAGTAGATCCAACCCTGACTGATAGCCAGGCGTCATATTACATTCCCCACCAAGCAGTTATACGTCCTGAAAGTTCCACCACAAAATGCGTATTGTCTTTGATGCATCAGCGAAAACATCTTCGGGTAGATCATTAAATGATAATCTCCTCTGTGGACCTAAACTACAACAAGACCTACCGAGCATCGTTCTTAGATTCCGCCTTCATGCAATTGTGTTTACTACCGATGTAAAACAGATGTTTAGACAGATAGTCGTCACTGAACCTCATCGACCATACCAGCGGCTTTTATACCGATTCAACTTAAATGAACCTATTCAAGAATACGAGATGAATATTGTCACTTTCGGTCAGAAGTCTTCTCCGTTTCTGGCTATCCGCACACTCCACCAACTTGCGCAGGACGAAGCTGCAACCGACCAAGCAATAAAAACAATTATTCAACGTGATTTGTACGTAGATGACGTCACGACAGGAACAAATACAGAAGAAGAAGCATACGTATTGCAGCAGAAACTGATCACCATATTCGCAAAAGGCCAATTTGAGCTACGCAAGTGGGCTAGTAATTCTGCGAAGTTTCTAGGAAAAATCCCAGAGGAGCACCAACAAACGAGCTCAAAGTCTTTTAATGAACACGGTTCGGATTATACCAAAGTGCTTGGATTAAATTGGGAACCAGCGGCAGACCTATTAAGTTATAAGTATCAACCTAACCCGATAAAATTTAGTAAGCGAGCCATCTTATCGGAAATCGCCAGAATTTATGACCCTCTCGGCTTATTGGCACCAGTTACAACGGATCTTAAGCGACTAATGAAATATCTGTGGATAGCCGAGGTAGGTTGGGACCAACCTATACCCAAAGAGGCTGCCACCTTATGGACAAAATACCATGAGGAATTACCAGCTCTCGCATCATTGCGAATTCCACGAAGAGTGACCAGCTCAAATGCGACTTATGAGTTACATGGATTCAGTGACAGCTCTGAGGCGGCTTATGCGGCTGCCGTATACTTACGAGTCGATTCAGGCACTGAGGTCCAGTGTCAGCTGTTAATGGGAAAATCAAAGGTATCTCCGGCCACGAAACTGTCCATTCCAAGACTGGAGTTGTGTGGGGCCTGGCTTTTAGCAAGACTATTGGCGTACGTCCGACCTAATGTTGCAATTTTGAACATATCGAACGTTACCGCATGGACGGACTCCACGGTAGCCCTAGCATGGATTCGATCTCCGACGGCCAAATTGAAAACTTTCGTGGCAAATCGCGTGGCAAAAATCCAACAAAATACCGACGTCGGAAATTGGCGGCATGTACCGACTAGCGTCAACCCCGCAGATTGCGCATCACGAGGATTAAGCCCAAATCGTTTGGCATCCCATAGTCTTTGGTGGAATGGCCCCAACTTTCTACGACAACCTGAACATTTATGGCCGCAGGAGCTACCTATGAACCCAACCAATCACCGTGATGAAGAGCTTGAAGAAAATCCAATCACTCTTGTGGTCCGAGTGAAAACCGAAGAATGCCCATTGCTGTACCAATCGGATAACTTCCCTAAGATTCTGCGACTCACTGCTTACTGGCTACGCGTACGGAATTATTTGTCAAATAAACGTACTTCAATGCTCACTACGCTTCCCACTGCTGAAGAAATTGAACAAGCTGTTAAAGCTCAGGTACGATGGACCCAGCAAGTAGCTTTTTACGACGAGTTTTGCAGTTTAGAAGCGGGAAAATCCTGTTCAGTGCGTCTAAGAAAGTTAGCCCCTTTCTTGGATGATGACAAGTTGCTCAGGGTAGGGGGTCGTTTGAAACACGCACAGATACCGTATAAAGAAAAATACCCTCTTTTACTCCCTAAGACTTCCCGTCTAACTACGTTATTAATCGACTACGTTCACCGAGAAAATGGTCACCCTGGACCTCAAGCCCTTCAAAACATTTTGAGCCAGGATTACTGGATATTGTCTGCGAGAAGTATCATACGACAACGGACCCATAGATGTATTCCATGTTTTCGAGCAAAACCATCCGTCCTACAGCCAGTTATGGGAAACCTTCCAGTACAACGGGTCTCTCAAATCAAACCTTTTGGTCGAGCCGGGGTAGACTTTGCTGGACCATTTGAAGTGAAAGCAGCTATGTTAAGAAAAATAAAAATAACCAAATCTTACATTTGTATTTTCATTTGTATGGCCACCACTGCCGTACACATTGAACTGGTGTCGGACTTGTCGACCCCTTTGTTCATATCTGCACTAAGCCGATTTATCAGTCGAAGAGGACGGTGTTCTGACATCCATAGTGACTGCGGCACGAATTTTGTTGGTACCCAAAAATACTTGCAAAATATTGATCACATACTTCGTCACGATACCTTCGTCAATCACCTCACCTCCCACCAGATAACCTGGCATTTCAACCCACCGGCTGCTCCACACATGGGTGGTCTGTGGGAAGCCGCAGTGAAATCAACTAAGACACTACTACACCGGATAACCAACGGAAAAGTGTTAACGTATGAAGAGCTAAATACAATCCTTCATCAAGTAGAGGCAACACTCAACTCGCGACCACTCAGTGCCATGTCTGCCGATCCCAGTGACTTCAAAACACTGACGGCAGGACACTTCCTTACGATGGAACCACTGGTGCCCATACCTTCCATACCCACGACGACCGACTCAAGTCAAAACTTAACTGTCACACCGCGCAACCGTTGGGCTTTGATACAACAAATCCAGAATCACTTCTGGAATCGTTGGCACCGGGAATACCTACACACACTCCAAGAGCGACCCAAATGGAACCGTGTAACCGTCAACATACGTCTCGGAGCTCTGGTAATCTTGAAGGAACCTACCCCACCACTCACTTGGAAAACTGCACGAGTGGTAGAAATATTTCCAGGCCCAGATGGAGTCGTACGGGTAGCAAAAGTACGAACTGCCAATGGAAAAATATTCACCCGCCCGGTAGTTAAGTTGTGTCCATTGCCGCTATAAAAAAGAAAAAGAAAATTGAAGGTGCGCTCCTTCAAGGTGGGTGGTATGTTCAGTGTTCAGACGTCCTACACCAAAACAAACGGTGATAAGAAAAACTGCAGCCCGACCTACCTTGCTACACCGCTGCGATCAGTTGTTCCCGGTTAGCCGTCAATGCGCGTGCACGTCGAGTTCGTGTTCCGATACCGTGTACATTACCGCGAAAACAGTCTTGCCGTCGCGTTACGTGCTTTGTGTTTTTTTTTGTACCTACTACACGGGCAAAGTGAAGGCATCACTTTTTCAACCAGGTACCAAACCTTTACCGCACCGTCAAGTCACCATCACCTTTACCGCACCGTCAAGTCACCATCACCCGCACCGCACCGTCAAGTCTCACTGGTTTTTATTGAGTTATTAATTTATATTATTGTTGTAGTAGTAAAATTATCGTAAGAATTAGTTTTAAGAGCCCTACGCCAGCCGGCACATTTGTGCCCCAGATTTAAATTATTTATTGCTTTACAAATAGTAAGCCGTCACCCGGCATAGCACTCACATCATTTTTATTTTTATTTGAAGAAGTTACCCATACCCATCATACAGTCCACAATTACCGTTTTACCCCACAATAACGAATTGAACAAAGTTTGAGTCATATAGAGTCGGTATATTTAACGGGCAATAAAGTGCACGGTATCAGCTACTATATATATATATATAAAACTAATAATTAATTAATATTAATCATATACCAGTACATTTTATTTGCAATTTATATTATATGGAAATGTTTGGAAAGTGTTCAAAACTGTATGCCTGGCTCATGTTTTTTAAATAATAATATGTTCAGTATCTATGCTTACAGTTAAAATTTTGTTTTTTGATTTTATTTTGTTCGGTCATCAATAATGTAGTTCAGGAGCATACATACTAACTGTATTAAAAATTTGTTTATACATTTAAATATATTATTTTCATTATACTCATGTTTTTAATAAATTATTTGTTAATTATTATTATCAAGATTATTACATATAATTACCTACTTTAAAACCATACAATTCTTATAACATTTATTATTGTTCTTTAATCGCCTTTAACCCAGATTATCATCACAGTCATGACTGGCAATTAATCGCTACTAGAATTTTGTGTTATAAGGTATAAGTATTTTAAATTATAAATTCCCATGCCTTTTCAAATGTTTAAGGGAGGTCAGGCATACGATCGGTGCACAAACATCTTTGCATGACATTCAATTTGATAGTAAAAGAGTTAGCATAATTAACATAATAAGTAGTTATCCATATAATTAAAATTATACATAATATGTATCTATATCTATACAAATATATTATATATATATTTGTAAATAATATACTAAAAAACTACCAACAATATAAAAATAAAGTCATATTTTATATTGAGTTATTATTTTAAATTATTATTTGTTAATTATTTTATTTGCAGCTCATATTAACTTGCTTTATTCATATAATTAATTCCAATAATTTCCTATATATGTTATATATAAATTCTATATATCGCTATTAGCCTATTTAGCAAACTCCAAAAAATTCAAATTTCATTTTTTATATCATTCAATAGAAAAAAAAATGCGCGTCGAATGGTATCATAATCATAATATTTAAGTGTGTTTTCTTCCATGAAACCGGTGATAATTTATACGCATTAGTCGTAACCACGATTAAAGATATACAGGTTGCACATCGACTACTGATAAGGTGAAATACGAAATGACTACCAATAATTAACCAGTGGCGCTCCAAGCGGCAGTATTACAATTAACCAATTATAGATATATAGGTGTAAAATTAGTTCTAAATGTCGACACATATGGTTGAGTGTTGACATTAAGCGCCACTAGTTAATTATTAACAGCTGATTTTTATAGTCACTTTGTAAATCAGTCCGGAAGCGGTTTACTATAGGGCGATGTGCAACCTGTATATCTTTAATCGTGGTCGTAACTCCGATAAACAAATAATATAATTTCTATAGAAACCGGCGTATCTCCGTATCACGGTCTTATATACAGGTCGGGCAGCTTGGCCATGAGCTGCGTTCTTTTAATGATTATGTAGAATTGTCAAAAAGACTTGCAGTGCTATCTAGTGGAGT